GCCATCAGCAGAGGAGCAGGAGGTGGGGCAGCAGCAGGAGCAGCAGGAGGAGATGGTGGAGGAGATGGAGGGGGGCTCGCGTGCAGTTCACGGGCTAGTGGATCGCAGCGATGGGCGGAATGAGAGCAAGTGTGAGGAGGACGACAAGCACATGCAGCAGCTCTACACAGACGAGGCATGGCTCATGCACGACTTCTGCATTAAGGCCGAGCCCGAGGAGGAGGTGGTACCGCTAGCTCAAGCGCCAACGCAGCCGAGGGTCTTGGCCACGTCGCGTGAGCTGTATGAGGAGCTGGAGGAGTCGGAGGAGCTGCCGGAGTCTCGTCCTGTCTCTCTCTCTCGTAGCAGCAGCTTCGACCGGTGGGACGGATCGAAGAGGGCCAGGTGCTCCTCTCTTGAGCCCAGGACTCCCAGCCCTCTCCCGGTCCACTCTCCATGGACAGCCGAAAGCATCTTCCGGGAGGCGTCTGTGTTCCTCACGCCATGGGACTAGAAGGAAGCGCATCAGACGGAGTGAGAGCAAGAGTGTAAGCCTCCGTGGGGTGATGATAGTGTTATCATAAACTGTATCATATAAGTCACGACCGAGATCAGTCAGCTCATTTTACCCGCCATGCATCAAGTCGCTTCCAACAGCACAGCACACAGCACAGCACACAGCACAGCACAGCACAGCACAGCACAGCAAACGAGGTGATCAGGGAGGAAACGGAGGGGGCGCGCCTGAGGGGGAGGCGTCCTCGTTTTCAACTTGCCAGCCGCTCATCCCTCCCATGCACAGGCGATATTGCTGGACTCGGATCGGACCGGTCGCCCCCCGTCGCCGAGTCACGGTCCACAGTCAGTGATCGGACATTCAGAGTCTGGGGCCCGGTCCGCACTGACTGAGTTCCGGCCGAACCGGGTCACCGGTGCCCGGCAGGATCGGACGGCCCATATCGGACGGACCCGGCGGCGTCTTGTGACTCATCAGGCTGCCTGAGTCCGATGTAGTCAAGGCAATGGGGTACAATAGTCAAACTTATCCATCTATAGTCAAATGTTTTTACCCGCAAATAGTCAAGATCTGTACCACCCCCATGATCAGCATCCGTCTAGGGGTATAACCCCTGTATTTGATATAATAAGAGGGGGTGCGGTGGTCTCAAAGTACCCACCCCCATGTACCAAGGCGGGCACATGTCCTCTAAACTTGCTCTTTTAGATGACCCCTTCCTAATCAACAATACCCCTTCTTAATCCATAAAAATAAGGGGTATTTTTACAGAAATAGGGACCCCACCCCTCTATACCGTTTTTAAAACAAGTTCAGTATTCCATGATTCCCCCGAGCAGCAACGATGGCATATTGAGTTGGGAGAGGAGGGGAGCGAGGAGGAAGAGGAAGAGGATATCACCCTTCATGATATTTTCGTCTTGTTCGTGCTGTATTTGTCACTACAAACTCGTTCTTGTTACCGCGAGTCTCCTCAAGTCATGCTCCGAAATGTGCGGACTTCTTTGGTTTCCTGCAAGGATGTCATGTTCATTTTGATTTGACTGTATCAACGTAAAATATCGCATGCGATCAATCTCTGCTGACTGCATTTGAGTTTGTTTAGATCTCACATTTGCTGTTGAAAGGTTTGAAACCAAACGAACGATGGGCACTAGAAGAGATAAATAGTAGGATCTTCACCATGGCACCAACAGCAGGAAACACGCTCTTGCTGTGTTTACTTTCAGCACAATGGAGTGCAGTGCCTGGTATTGTACCGGGCTCGAACCTTCTTGGGTATGTTGCATTATTATGAGCAGACATGAAAACAGTCTGAAATCTTTTTTGTTGGCCATCAAGACTGAAGGATTTTGAGCGGAATCGAGCTGAGATGATCGCTCAGCTGGCACGAACAACTAATGGTTCGTACTTTCAGTTCGCTGACAGTTTCAGTTCGCTGACTCATTGCATGGCTACCATGAACTTCTGACTTTGGCAGGGTTTGAATCGCATCAGGTATAGTTTGTTGGAGGAGAGGGATCCTGCTGAAGTTTCATTTCCTTCTTGTAGAGGTCTATGCGAAGATTGCTAGAGGAGGAGGACAAGCGGGAGACAGGTGTCTAACAACTTCGCAACGTGCTCTCATGCTGACTTTTCGTCTGCAGCCTTGTCTCGCTCAACCCATCAGCTCAAGAACGCAGATCAGATCTCTCAGGTAGGCTTGCTGATACAGGCACCCGCATTTCTGACCTCGAACATCCTACAGGACGATCTTCACTTCGATCCAAGGAACTCTTCAGTCTACGATCCGCTGCGGAGCAAGACTTTCAGGTCGGAGGCAGCCAGTCACCTGCTGTCTGCCGTGCGATTGAACTTTGTCCTCGTTCTCAGTCTGGTTCCGAAAGCTGTCTTTCTCCTGAGCTATGCGGACGAGACGCATCTCAAGGGGTTTCAGAGCAAGGATGTCGTCAAGGTAGGATCTCCTCCCCTCCTCCTCCTCCTCCTCCTCCACTAGCTGACATCGCGCGCAAGCTGGGAGATTACTTCGTCGAGACTAAGTTCGGATCCGTCACGGAGTGCAACAGTCCTGTATGCTGACCTTTATTTCTGCTCTCCCTTCCCCCTTCCCCCTTCCTCCTGCTCCTGCTCCTGCTCCTGCTCCTGCTCCCCCTTCCTCCTCCACCACCACCTCCTCCTCCTCCTCTCCTCTCTCATGGTTTTGCTGCCTAGGATTTCAATGGGCTTGATGGAATTGTGGGTTTTGGTATGCCTGTACAGGTATGAGAGCGAGGAGGAGATGGAGAATGAGCAGATATGGGAAAATTCAACTTCTTCTTTGTGGGGAGATGAAGTTGAAGTAGAGGAACAAGGAACTTTGACACTCTACAAGTCGATGAACTTGTCCCTTTGATGATTATGTAGAAGTGTTCATCAAGTTTTGATCGAGATTCAATGTGGAGAAACCTCCTCCACCTTGACATGTTCAAGAGAAACATGTTTCGGGAGTGATACCATGACATGCTGATGACAACCTTTGTCAGCACCAATCTGCTCCTCCTCCTCCCAGCGGGGTCAGTGACATGATGCCGAGGTGATGAGAACTTTTCTCGATTTTCTCCCTCAAGTTTCGGTGATGACGCAGGAGCGGAGATGGCATATCGGCATCTTTGCCCGTTCCTCTCCTGTTTGCTCTCACGGACCCGACGGTAGATGCTAACAGCTCATGTTCTTCCCATATGCGATGCTGGCTCTTGTTATCTTTGTCTTGTGTTGACGTTTGTTGTCTAATCCTGCATTCTTTCACGTTGCGTCCTCGTCCTCATGGTAGTGGTGCAGGTCAAGGACAACGCAAGGAACCACGTGCTGGAAAGAAGAGCCTTCTCCTTCCTCTCCACAGATTCACTGGCCGAGCTGCAGCTAGGAGGCTACGATCCTGACGCGGTGAGGAGGGAGGAGAGAGCAGAAGAGGATGGAGACGCTGCAGGAAACGAGCACGACATATTGGCAGATACGATGTCAGGGGGGAAGAGTAGAACGAGTGCTAGGAGGGAGGGAGGGAGGAGGGAGGGAGGGAGAGAGGAAGAGAAGATGGGTTTTGTCAGCGGTATGTGATGGGAAGAGGAGCAGATCGACGGCAGGATGTTCCTCACCCCCTCCATCACCATCAACGACTACGTCGTCGTCTCTCTCTCCATCAAGTTTGGCTCCTCCGAACTCCTCGAGTTCACTCCTAAGAATCCTCGGCTGCGGTACCTCCCTGCCATCCTCGACAGGTACGGCAGGAGCGGGAAGCAAGGGGGAGGGGCTGCAGATCGAAGGGAAGGGGGTGGCGAGGAGGAGGAGGAGGAGAATGGGCTGGGGAGGCGGGGTTAGGGTTGAGGAAAGCGTTCCAGGAGGAGAACGAGTGCGAGGAGGAGGGAGAGGAGACGGAGAAAGGAGGGAAGAGGAGGAGGAGGGGGAGAAAGTAGGGAGAGGAACGTCTGACGGAGGGATGCAGCGGGACAAGCTGTCTTGTGATCCCTGACTCGACGATGAACGGGCTGGTGACGGAGTCGCCATATCAACGATGGAAGAATCTTGTGAAGGATGTAAGGGAGGGAGGGAGGGAAGGAGCATGCAAACGATGTTGACCTTGTTGCTCTACAGCCGAAGAACCCTCGCTTGAGAGAAACGTTCCACATTAACATCGCGGGTGAGGATGAGGATGAGTTTGTTTCTCCCTCCTCCTGTTTTTGATTTGCTCTCCTCCTCCTCCTCCTCCTCCTCGTTGTCCACCACAGCCACCACCCTCTACTCCTCCTCCCCTTCCCTGTCCACCACAGCCACCACCCTCTACTCCTCCTCCTCCTCTTGCCTCTTTTTCTCTGATAGAACATCAGGTGCTGTGTTCGACCTGGAGTTCGATGACTGGTGGCTGGGAGAATCGAATCAATCCTGCGTGCAGAGGGTACAAGAGGAGGAGGAGGAGGAGAGAGCAGGAGCAGGAGCAGGAGCAGGAGCAGGAGAGGGAGAGGAGAAGGAGGAGGGGAGGGAGGGAGAGGAGGAGGAGGGAGAGGAGGAGGAGAGGGGCAGGAGGCGGGAAGGCAGGAGGAAATGCGGGATATGTAAATTAAGATAAGGATGCAGGCACCTGAGAACTTCGGAGGAATATTGATTGGGGATGTATTCTTTAGACGATATCTCGTTCTCTTCGATCTTAGGTTTGACATGCTTGGCACTTGTACATTCCTCCTTGCCCTCCCCTCATCTCATCTCATCTCATCTCATCTCATCTCATCTCATCTCATCTCATCTCATCTCATCTTTTGTACTCTCATCTCATCTTATCTCAGACATTATCCGGAATCTGTTGTGATCGGTATGGGCAAGCGAAGTTCGCAGTACAAGTTTGCGAAATCCCATCCAACTATATCAAAGGTAGACAAGAAGAATCCTTTGAGTGTCACTCTGATATGCCATGGAAGATTCCTGCATACAAGAGAAAACCTGTGAATATTAGCAGTGAGACGGTGAGCTATCTCTAAATCAAACATGTTTTCAGACGAACTTGTAATTTAAGATTGGAGTCCAGAGAGAACGATGATGATGGAGTTGTTGTTGTTGTTGTTGTTGTTGTTGTTGTTGATGATGATGATGATGATGATGATGATGGAGTTGGTGGTGTTGGTGTTGGTGTTGGTGTTGTTGTTGATGATGATGATAATGGTGATGATGATGGCAATGGCAGTGGTAATGGTGATAGTGACGGTGGAGAACATGACTATGAACTTATCGAATCTCTTCAAACTGTTTTACTTGTCCACATTCTGCTCAATACGCATCTTTGTTCCTTCCACCTCCCGATTCACTGCTCTTCCTCTTCCCAGGCTCCCCCGAGGTATCGCGTGCCCATGGCGACGGATCGCATTCCTGTACATAACGAGGTGAGGAGGACGAAACAACATGTTGAGATCTCAACACAACTCATGCACATGACAGCAAATGACTCAGTATTACATCAACCTGACGGTGATGTCTCCAGCTTCTCCCTCCTCTCCTCCCTCTCCCTCCTCTCCCTTCCCCTCCCTCCTCCCCTCCCTTCCTCCCTCTCCCTCCTCTCCTCCTCAACGAGT